AAAGCTATTCAGAGTACATTAATAATGTAACATTTACTAACCACAGGCAGTCAGTAAAGTACTACTTTTAATACTGACAACTGTTTTTTTCCTGACAATGGCCTCTTTGGATGCCTTTTAAAATTCCAATGAGAAATTATCACGTCAATCAACCCGTTTACAGAAAGGCAGGAAAATGTCATCTGTAGCTTTGTTTTTTTAACATGTAGTTCTGCGCCTTTATATCCTAAAGGAGCTGGAAAATGCAGAGCAGTCACTTATTTTTCCCTTTCAGTATGCGAGGTTAAAAGTTGCATCTCAAAAAGTGTAAAGTGTTCCTAAATTATGTCAGTACAACAGTGTATAGCTGTTGTGTCCTGGATTTCCCACGAAGACAGAAAAAACACAAATCACCACCTCCACCTTAATGACTGTTATCTTGGATCTCCAACCCTGGAATCGTTAGATTAAAAATTTTGTTTGAAATTAGTGTTAGTGAAGAATGAGGGCTTATAACTGTGCTTTACAAGGTGATTTGGACACATTTATGTGCAGGCAATTGCTCGGACGTTCCTAAAACTGCTTTTGTCCACTAGTAAACAGAGCTATTGATGCAATAAAGAAACAGAGCCTTGAGAAACAGGGAGGATTTGATCAGAATTAAATCCAAGTCTTCCAAATCTCATGTTCTCTTAGCCATCAAGTGCTCTCTGACATGATGATTAAAATTACAAAATGGGTCCAACCTGGGATCTGTCTCCACGGTGTGCTTGGAAAAGAAACTGATTTTATTTTATTTCTCATGTTCACTTTTTAATTCTAATGCAACATGACAGAGGAATTTTCAACCCGCCTCCACCATGTACTGAAAATCTTGCCATGCTGTCAGAGGGGGGGTCTACAAATAACATATTTTGATTAAAAAGCTATAAAAATTCCAACTTCAAAAAGCAGCCAAAGCTGAATCTGCGACTGGGCCAAAGGGTTTGACATCCATCAGCTGCTTCGGGCTCATTTGACTGAAAACATTTCTTACCCCCTTTACCCCACTGTGACATCTTGCTTCCTGAAGAACTGTACGCTGGAAATAAGAGTTTGGCTGAAGGGTTTTTCACAAAGAATGAAGAATGCTCTGGCCTGTGTCATAAGGAAGATGAACAACTGAGGTAGGAATGCTGCTTCTCACCAGCTGACTAATGCCCCTTGTTTATTTAATGCCTAAAAGGATGGTTGGCTATTTGGTAATCCCTTTAAGATGACAAAATAAAATATTTGAATCATCAAATCATCCTAATTGCGAGACCAAAAGAATCCATAGGCTTTCTCCAAAACCTTCTTTTGCAATCGTTTCTCTACAAGCTGCTACAGCACCTCGGCACCTACAGCCAGCTGAAGGCGACTTAAGTATATTCCCTGCAAAGAAAATAACTGGAGAAAAAATAATATGTTCCATTCGTGTGCTAACGGATTTTACATCTATCCATTTTCTCACCTATTTATCTAATACAGGGTCGTGGGGGAACCAAAGTCTGTGCCATAAAGCAACGGGCACAAGGTGGGGGAATTCTGGACGGCACATTCACACACTCACATCTAAGGCCAAGCTTCCCAGAAGCCAATTAACCTACCAGCATGCCTTTTAACTGTAGGAGGAAACCCACTTGAACACGCGGATAAACTCCATGCGGACAGCACCCCGTTGTCTGGAACTGAATTGAACCGGGGGCCTCAGCACCATGAGCCAGCATTGCTCAACACTGTGCCACCTGTGACCTTTACAAGTGGCACACACTCCATGGACCAAAAGGTGGCCACCACATTCTCTGGACCACTGATGCGACTGCATCAAGAGAGGAGGGCAAAGAGGTGCCAGCCTTCAGATGAGACGTTAAGCTGAGGTCCACACTAGTTGGTCATTAAAGATCCGCTGGCACGGTTTATAAGAATGGTGATAAGAATGAACTCTGGCATCCTAGCTAACTTCCATTCTAGGGAGTTGCACCACCTGGCCTACCTGCAGTTAACACCCCCTTAATAAGAACTGTAGTGGTTCTGCTGGTGTATGACGGCTGCCACATGACACCCAGTTGGGTGCTGACCAGTAGAGGTCCCCTCCTATAAGGAAATTTAGGTTTTGTAGGATGATAAGCACAACATAAAGGAAATCAATTGTGAACTGGGGCTGCTGTGGGGGAAGTAAATTCACAGAATTCAAGTGCAGACTTGTGGATTCCCAAAGGCGTGGTGTGAAATACAGTATGTAAGGACTAATGTCTGTTATGTAACCTTTTATTAATTAACAGAATGCTTACTTGCAATGTTTCTACGATTTTGAAGTTTGTGTGTAAAACATAGAAATTTGTCTTTCATCAAAGCAGCTAAGAGCAATGAGGTGCATTTTCCAAAGAACATAAAAACGGTTACAGAAGTTAAGTGAGAATTTATTGGAAATTAGATGCACTACTGAGCATCAGGGTGAATGTACTCCTGCTCTCAACCTGGTTAAAGGTAAAGGAATCACTATGCGAGGTCAAGGTATGGAACTAATTGTACTTTACATGATGTTCTACACTGACACAAAGTGCTGGTGTATAATTTTCACCATTTGACTGCCTTTGATGACCAAATAATAACTTAACACTTTCAAAGACAATGGAGAACTCAGATCACACACCCATTTAACATGCTTCTTAGCCTATTTGACTAGATAATAATAATAATAATAATTGCTTACACTTATATAGCGCTTTTCTGGACACTCCACTCAAAGCGCTTTATAGATAATGGGGACTCCCCTCCACCACCACCAATGTGCAGCATCCACCTGGATGATGCGACAGCAGCCATAGTGCGCCAGAATGCTCACCACACATCAGCTATCAGTGGGGAGGAGAGCAGAGTAATGTAGTCAATTCATAGAGGGGGATTATTAGGAGGCCATGATTGGTAAGGGCCAATGGGAAATTTGGCCAGGACGCCGGGGTTACACCCCTACTCTTTTCGAGAAACACCCTGGGATTTTTAATGACCACAGAGAGTCAGGACCTCGGTTTTACGTCTCATCCGAAGTGTCCCCATCACTATACTGGGGCATTAGGACCCACATAGACCACAAGGTGTGCGCCCCCTGCTGGCCCCACTAACACCTCTTCCAGCAGCAACCTTAGTTTTTCCCAGGAGGTCTCCCATCCAGGTACTGACCAGGCTCCCTGCTTAGCTTCAGTGGGTTGCCAATTGTGAGTTGCAGAGTGATATGGCTGCTAGATAGTTCCTTCCTGTAAGCTACCACTTAACCATGTTATGACTGCTGTAGGAGGAATGCCTTTTCAGGGATATTCAGCAAATGCAAGCAGTTCTTCTCCATAAATGTCTTTTTAAAAAGGCATTATAGCTTAAAGTGGAAACATCAGTGGAAATATTCACTCCCGGTACAAGCCTTCTTCCACATTACCACTGTCACTAGTTCGAGCTGTTGACAATTGAGAATACACTCTCCCAATTTCTATAGACTTTTCAACATTTAAATTTGGCGTCAAAGACATACAAAAGAGAGACGTTAACCTTGGACACATCAACAGGCAATTTTTACTACGAAATTGACTAGCTTCAGTGGACAAAGTCAACGGGCTGACCAGCACTAGCGGTACCCACTCCTGTACCTGTGATAAGGGTGGGAGTACTGAGCGCTCTGATGCATCATCGAAAACCCAACAACACCGGACATTCTGCTTCACTCCCACTCACTCTTGGTTCAAATTCTTCATCAGCGGCATTTTCATATGCCTGAATTTCTACTTCATTCCAAAATAAACCTCAGGCTGCCGTGTATTCCGACAAATTCCAGCCACTTTCATCGAAAAGCCTTAGTATGTCAGCGCATTCAGGATGTTGACTTCTATCGCCACCGAAATTTCACAAATCTTTACAGAATTGGTTTAATATATGGTTGTCACTCTATTTTCGTGCTGTGCGGTGTTATGCCGAACACACATTTCCAAACAAACGCGGGCACGACAGGCACATCTGTCTAGGCGCACGGAGTATCGATGCTACAAGCGCCACTGTCCTCGAATGTCGCATTATGATGAACTCAAGTAAACCAGACAATGCCCCGAGGTAACCAACTTTCCCAGCACAGTCTTGCCATCACGACGGCTCTCCCTTGATGACTAAGTACATATATATATATACACACACCTCACCTGAAGCGTACTATCTCCAATCGTTTTTATTAGGCCTGTTGACTCTGTATAACACAATACACTGCAATTCAAGACCTCACATTACAGAATCATGCGCGTGCACCGAGTGCCTTTTTTCTAGATCGTTGTGCACTTACTGAAATTGAACAAGGATTTCCAAACCTGCTCTTCTATCTGTGCTAAGGTGCTATTATGCGTTTTATTTCTCGCTGCTGGTAAACCAGCCTTTCTAATAAAGTGGCACTATACACAGTCAACTACACGGTTTACACGTAAAGCGGAAATGTACAGCAAATATCTTATGCTACTGACCTAACAGTGCTCATTAACGGCGTTGTTTATATGCGAACGATTACATGCAGTATTGCAGGTAGCTTGCAAAAGTACGCACTGAAAATAACGTTTTCACAAAAGGGAGTATTTAAATACACATCTAGCAAAGCAGCCTAAACTAGTGATTATTTATCGATTATTTACGGCACACATGCTTGCTTGCGATCGTGATATTTAAAAAAAAAGATCTGGAACAGTACTTAGTCCTTACATAATCCAAATACAGGTGTATATGGGAACGTTGTTAAAGGCAGATACATACGCATCATGCATTTAAAGGTGCTCAGATTCACACGGTGTAAAAATGCATTTAAAGAGTAACATTTTTTTTTCTAACGAGGTGTGTCATTCCACTGCAGTTTCACAGCTCGATCGCTTCAGTAGGAAAAAACACTGCTGGCTGATCTAATTGTGCTCGTGCCCCGCTGCCGCGCGCGAGACGTCGAGGAGCGATTAAATATTAATATGAGAATACAGCAAACTTACCAGTAAACTTTCCAAGTTGATCAGAGATCTAGGATCTTTGATCATGGCTTCCAGTTTTTTCAGCCGGTTTTCCATCCGCCTTTCCGCCCCGGCCGACATTTTTACGGCTTTCTCAAAGTCAGTCCCTTTGCAGAAACGTTGAGAGCCCGTTTTCTTTAAAAAGTCGGTTTACATGAAGATCCTCTCGGATCCGTCTTTTTGTTCTCGGGCAATGCCCGTGGGCCTAAAAAGCAAGCCTCAGAGAGGCCGCCTTGGGAAACTTCAGACTCGCTCTGCACAGGGTGGGAAAAAAAAAAATCCCAAGAAGAAATAAAGTAATACTTCCACAAACACCGCGGCGTGTATCGGAAAGTCCTTCAGCCCAACGAAAGCAAAAGTTCCCGTTCCATTTTTAATGAGTTATTTACTATGCCGGCGCGATAAAGTAACTTAATACTTAGTAAAATATCAGAAACAGGGCGTTTTCTTCACCCTCCCCACCTCCACCCCCCTTTTTGAGCGGTCTGGTCTGCCTCTCCCGTCAATTTCAAATTTCTCCAGTTCAAAAACAACCCGGAGCATTAAAAATCCACCCCTCTTTCCTTTCCACAGAATAAAGTGCAAACTCCGTCCACATCCTCGCAGAGAGAAACCAGTCCAAGAAGCCGATCGCCTTCCTTGTAGTTCAGCGCGATCCCTTCGGGCACAGACGGATGCGCCTCAAGTGTAGGAAAAGTCCCTTTTTTTTTTCCTCTCAACTTTTCAATGTAATTTGTTTCTACATGATGTCAGTTGGTGTAACTACCTCCTCCTGTCCTCCATACTCTTCCAATTCCAAGTACTCCCTCTCTCTCCCCTCTGACATCAACACGCACGCAGACAGCCTCGTTTACCCACAACCCTCCTCTGTCCATGCAGCGCTCACACGGCTCGTCTATGGAAAGGCATTCCTGCTGTGCACCGAGAATGCCACTCGCCTTACTCATTCACTAAACTTCGGTGCCTGAGCTGCAACCGAGCATCGCTAATGTTCCGGCAGCGTCTATATTTATAATGAACTTCGCTAGTGGTGCTGGCTCGTCGTTTTCCCATACCACCGCCGCCACCAACTCTAGATACGCGATACAATGCGTCAGTCTATATAAAGCAAAGCCTTATTTGTCTGTCAAAATCATGAGAGGGGTGATCCTATTTAAAAAAAAAAATTGTGTCGGGATCTTTTAAACAAGTATCATATAACTGCCGTCAGAGGTTTTTTTTGGCCCTGTTCATTTGTATGAAACAGGTGGCCCGTTGACTATCTCACAACGATGAGAGGGGTGCCTTCTGTGTGGAGTTCGTATATCCTGGTGTCCTGCCCAAAGCGTTGTTCTGCTTTGTGCTCTTTGTGTCCGGGATAAACCTCAGCTTGCTACGTCACACAGAGAAGGAATAAGCATTTTATAATATGTGATGGGTCTATTTCCGACGTTTTATACTTAAAACGCTATTTTGTCTCACAAAACTAGACTATGTAAAAATGTTCAGGAATTCATTCCTAACGGGCAGAAACGCGCAAAAATATGTCAAATGCTGTACTGATTAAATTGCACTGCAAGTTATACAGCTAATCGAAAGAAATCTGACAATAAAAACAAAATAAAAAATTGCTGCTTCTGGTTATTCCCAACACATTGGTGCTTTGAAGAAATGACTGCTAGACTATACATGCATTACAATCATAAACACTGCTTTGAGTTAAAGCCATCTCAAACAATCTCAAGGCTAAGTCTTTTAACACCATGGGAAAATGACTATTTCAAAACCTGAGATCAGACTACTCTGATTGCTATATGGTTATGGACAGTACAGTATGTATCTTTAAATCTGATCTCAAGATATAAGATATTAGAGCAGGTCCTCATTGTAACCCTTAGGATAGCCCACACCCTCACTGAAGACTTCATAATAACAGATAGTAACAGAAATTGAAAGAAGGAAAGTGTATCTTCTTAAGGTCCTAGGGCGATCAGCAAACTTCTAGACACTCCATAATAGGACATGTAGGTTTAGTCACTAGTCCTCCCAAAGCAGGCAGGATAAACTTTGTTGAGTTTTAAAAATAACGATGATGCAACTTCTAATCCCTGGAAAAATAAAAAGATGTGTAATTTCCATTGATTTTATAAGCAGGTTTATATAAATAAGATTTGGAGTGGAGTGGTGGCTCTGTGGCTAAGGATCTGCGTCTGTGGCTGGAAGGTTACTGGTTCAAATCCTGCAGCTGGCAGAGGAATCCTATTCTGTTGGGCCCCTGAGCAAGGCCCTTAACCCCAACTGCTCCAGGGGTGCTGTACAATGGCAGACCCTGCGCTCTGACCCCAAGCTTCTCTCCCTGTCTGTATCTCATGGAGAGCAAGCTGGGGTATGGGAAAAGATAATTCCTAATGCAAGAAATTGTAAAGGGTTAATAAAGTGATGTTGTTGTTGTTATTATTATAATAACAATTTTACTTTTTTATGTCCCGCTGTGTTTTGAGTGCAGCGCTACCACCTCATAGCCTGGGCTTATCAGATCATACATGCAAACCGGGCCTGGTCGGTACTGCGGTGCACCACAGCTTTATGAATCACATCAAGCCATTTCTTAAGGTGTTACTTAGACAAGATCTGTGTCTTAACATTTTGTTTGATTTTGTCCTATAATTTCACCACAGCCGTACCACCTTGTAACATGATTGTGTCCAATCCCTGAGTATAGGCTGGACTGGTAAGTACTGGGATGGGGGACCCTAAGACAGTGGTTCCCAGTCAGGTACTGGGGGACTGTTGTGTTCACTAGTATTCATTCTAACTCAGCTCTTCAACCACTGGTGCAAATTGATCTATTCGCCTGTTTAGCTCTGTCTGCAAATGATTCATGGTTTCAGAACTATCCTACTTCAAGAGTAGTTTGTCATCAGCATCCATGCAGAAACCGTGTTCACATTGAATAACCGTCTGTTTGCCCGCTCTTCAATTTTATTTAATTATTTTATTTGCTGCCACTAAAGTGTAAGTTAATCTGCCTCGTTTTGTGTCATCTTCAAAACTGACTAGTTTATTAACTATACCAGAATCTAGATCATTTATATAAATTGGGAAGATAATTTGTCCTAGTACAAATCCCTGTGGCACCCCGCTAAATTGAGATTTCAGCTTTCTCAATGTAGACTGGGAAAGACATACTGTACAGTAGTCTGTATAAGTCTGATATATATATATATCATTACTAAAAGAGGGGTTAGCATGATTTTTATTGAATAGAAAACATTTAGTTTAATCAGAATTTAGCAAAAAAAAATGTTTACAGAAAACTTTATGAATTTTGGCAAACCTAATCATTACACATTATAACATAGGTCCAGGTGAGTATACAATGGTGTCATTGACATAATGGTGAATACCAGAGTTGTCCAGTTCAACTAAGAGAGTAAATAAGAAAGTAACACAACCTGAGCAGTTGTGTTAATGTAGATTAAAAAGGAGGGTTCCTCTGGGACTCCCTTAGTAACTGGATGAACCTGTGATACAAATGCATCAGAATTTATAACAGTTATAAAGGGTACAGTTTTGTAAGGTACTGTGAAACCATATGAGGGAGGTTATTTCAAGATCAGTACAACACAATGTTTTCAGAAGAAGTGAGCAATTTACAGTATTGAAAGCCTTGGATTAATCTATAAAGGCGACTGCACAAGTGCGATTTTGCAGTGAGTTATAATAATATAATTGGGAATTTTCAAGGTTGCTGTAACACAATGCACTAGAATTACAGGAGAAAACCACATTGCTTATCAACTTAAGTATAAATGCTCTCTAAAAAGTAGCTTAACCACTTAAACTTAAAATGGCAAAAAGTAGAGGCCAAAAAGAGCAGATTTTCCATCAGTAGGGATTTTATCTGGTTTAAAAGATTGAACCAGGTGGTCAGCACTACTTACCTGAAATTAGCCAAACATTTTTTAAAAGAACCTTCAATGTCTTTGGGACTAGTAGTCACACTACTGTCAATTGTGCAGAACTCAGCTATTACAGCTATTAAAACTGAAAGGACTCTGGAACTCTACTGCATCCAATGCAACTGTATCAGCACCTTTGTTAAATATTGACCTGTCAGACACATAGCAGGAACTAATGAAGTGTTCACTGAATTAAGTAACCATTTGTTTTTATCTGTCTCAGAAGTATTTTCCAAAGTAATTGAAACTGATGAATAAGAAGGTAATGATTTGTTTTTCAGAAACGAAACTGTCTGCATAAATATCTTCAGACTCTTTAAGACACTAGAGTTGATCATTGCCATATCTCATTTTAGTGCATATAATGAGTTCTGTTATTTTAGTGTGCATGACAGAAAGCCAATTACTGGTATTTTTAGAGGCTGTAGTATTTTGCCAATCTACATACTAGGTATAAGATATTCTTGTCATGCAAATCTCACAGCAGCATAACTCTGTCTTGTCATCACTCTAGTGCAAATATGTAATGGACACTATGGGCCCATACAAAATAACGGAGACCCTAAGCTGGTAGCCTAAAGAAACAGCAACAAAATAAATACTTTGACCAAACATATCAAGACTTAGATAGCTGTGAATTAAATACGAAAACTTCAACATTTCAAAGATATAGAAACTGAGATCTCAACAGAAAGCTGAGGATTTTTGCCAGTGTAATTCAACATCTTTTTAAAATGATGATAAGTCTTAATTATGGAGTAATTATAACAGTAACATTACTGAACCAAACACAAAAATGTATAAAAAATAAAAATGGAAATACCTTGTTTACTGAAGTATTCATCCCCCTGAGTCAATAATTTGTAGACTCACGTTTTGCAGCACTTGCAGCTTTAAGTCTTCATGGGTATGTCTTTAACAGGTTGGTACATCTGAATCTGGGGATTTTTCGCCCATTCTTCCTTGCAATTTGCTTAAGCTCTGTCAGGTCAGATAGGGTTCATTTGTTAACTTCAATCCTGAAGTCCTTCCACAGGTTCTCAATGGGATTCAAGGGTATTCACCTTCTTGTTCTAGCTGTATGCTTGGGGTCATTGTCCTGCTGGGATATGTATCTTTGTCTTAGGTGTTATGCTGACTAAAGCAGGTTCTCCTCGAGGATTTGCCTGTATCTGGCTCCATTCATTGTTCCCTCTGTCCCGACAAGTGTCCCAGTCCCTTTGGCTGAAAAGCCTCCCCATAAGATAATGCTCCACCACCATGATTCATAACATTGCAGAGTTATTTGTATAGCGTCTATGGCGAAAAGTCCTGTATAAATGTATTTCTATTTGGATTTGCAATGTAATAAATTAAGTCCTCACTCTTCACAGGGTTCCCAGCCTATTTTCCTGTGGCCAGGAGCCTGTCCCTCAGCCAAGCGGGTTAAAGACAAATTTTACTATACCTAAATATTCCATAAACATTTTCAAACATCTTATTCTTGGGTGTCATTATTCCTCCTGACATATCTTTGTGACTTTCTAGTCTACCTAGTGCACAGGGAAAGAGAGGCAATGATATTGCAAGGAAAGTTTCCTGGTTTTGTTAAGAGAGAAACTAAATATTCCCTTCCATCTTTCTCCAATTTCTTTTTTCTTCCTTTGGAGGCCTTTAAGAAGTTTAGAATTAAATATCTCCTGTTACAATTAATTATCCACCAGACTGGAAAACCCGGTACTTAACTCTGCCGTTCATTTAATTTCTCTTTGCAAGATCATTTTTTATAGTTGTATTGTAACACAAGGCTTTACAACGAGAACATTCTCCTGTAATTGGTGATTGAGATAAGTGGAAATTGATGGTCTACAGCCATATATAATTGATGCATTTTGTGCAATTATAATCCAGTGTTCTCTGTGGCGTTAAGCCAAGAGGTTAGCCGAGTTACTGCAATAACTGTAGTGACATGCGAGTGGATGTTTTTCTAGACTTATGTGATTAATGCCAAAACAGAATGCTTGCATTCATCAGCAGTTATTCGATGGAAGGATGCATTGCCAGCGTCTT